CCCCTCCTCTTCCCCCCGATCCCCAAAAGTTTCTCATTTGGGCTGTACTCAGCAAGCGCAGTACACAGCCCGCAACTCAGATCTGAAAAACGAACTGTGGATGGCTGTTTTCTGACTGGCCGACTGGTCGGCCCTACTGATCGGCTGCAAACGGTCGGCGATCGGGGTCGGCGGTCGGCAGGTATGCAACCCTGCCATCTGGGTGAATGTGGCGTAATTAGTAATTACCCAATGGGTTAATGTGTGGTAATTACCCCCTGGGTTATTGTGTGGTAATTGTCCTCTGGGTTAATGCGTGGCAATTATCCTCTGGGTTAATAATGTGGGGTAATTAGTATTTACTAATTAGTAATTACCATATGTGTTAATGTGTGGTAATTGCCCCCTGGGCCTCTGGGTTAATGTGTGGTAATTCCCTATGGGTTAATGTGTGGTGACCCACAAGTTACCGACAGGTAAAAAACGACATTTACTCTCTGCCTGATGTGTGGTAAAAAAGAGGTTCAAAACACCATCATTATGATTTACCCTCTGGTTAATGTGCAGTATTGGACGGTAACTCTTCAGTTAAACACCAGCCATTTACCCTCTGGTTAATGTGTGGTAGCCACAGCAAACAGTAACCGGCAACATCATTTGCCCTCTGGTTAAAAATATGTGGTTACCGCGGCTAAGAGTAATTGCTGCTAAACAATGACATTTACCCCTCTGGTAAATGATTTGTCCTAACCACGGTTAATGTGCGCTAACCACAGTTAATGTGCTGTCACCCGAACTAAAGAGCATCATTTGCTGTCTCAGCGATGACTAGAGCTAAATGCAAACATCATCGTGATTTACCCTCTGGTCGATTGGCAGGAACGACGGTTAAACAGTAACGACAGTTAAACAACATTAACGATTGGGCAAATCATGATGATATTCTGTGGGTCTTGTTACCGTATTGCTTTTGACTGCGGTTACTTCTCACGATTTACCCTTGTGGTTTATGTGCGGTAACTAAAGCTAAACGCAAAATTACCTGAATATAGACTTCAAAGTTCAAATTTCGACAAAGTATTTATTATTTAATTAAATCTAGTTTACTATTTAAAAAAAAAGGAAGAAGTTTAGTACTAAACTAGGCTACCAGCCGCCCGCCCGGGTCGACCTGTTTTCCTGGGCGGCCCGGCCGTGCAAGGACCACGGAAGGTCCCTGAAAAAAAAAAAAAAGAGAAAAATCCGGAAAAAAACTATGTTATGAAGAAAATTTAGAAAAATAAACTGAACAACTTTTGCCTCAGGGTCACATCAAAGTTCTTGACTAAATCTAAAATAAAATAAAAAATCAAATTAGGAAATATATTTACCGGGCAGCTCTGTTTGACTATATATATGTATTTTACTATTTTTTAATTTTGTTTTGGCCCGGCCGGGGAAGTGGTCTGGGGCCACTTTGGTAGCCTAGCTATTGAATTAATTATTCGATACCACATCCGCCGTCTGGCGGTAGCAAAGGGTAAAGTTTGGGCACTGCTTATCCTGGGGTCTCCCAAGGAACGACTGTGTACCATCGATGGACCGGCGTTGAGGGACAGCTAGGTCTTCCAGGGTTCGGCGTTTTGCAGACAATAGCAGACCCACCTGAGGCCGGCATGGCAAAAGGTACTGGTGCTTTAAAGCTGTCTTCTCCTCTTCGGGGGACAACTCTGTATTTTTTCTCTCAATTTTTGGCACTCCCAACTCTCCGAACACTGGACCAGCAACTGGACCTCAACTCTGTATTTTTTCTCTCAATTTTTGGCACTCCCATCGGAGCCCTCGTGAGGATATTACTCGCAAGCTCTACTCTGTCTGGGGAGTATTACCCAAGCACCGAACCCTCCTAGTGGAGGATGACAGGACTCTGTGTGAATACCCCTGTCAAGACCAGCCAGGGAGGAGGGGGGGGGGGG